CCCCAAAACCCCAAAACCCCAAAACCCCAAAACCCCAACCTTAAAATCTCATATTGAAATTTTAATTTTCCGAGTCGTTATAAATTTACCTTTTGATCATCGGGCTTGAATGAAGTACAAATTCGTCTAGCTTATGATGCTTGTCTTCTGTTCGACCTTGCTCTTCGGGACCCATCCAGGGATACTTCTTGCTTTTCTTATTGCTTAATATTTTAAAGGCTGTAGGGTAATCTGGGACCTTACTTGTGTCTAAGTTGTCTCTAAAGAAGGGCTTTGGAGAGACCTCAGAGTCTTTATTTAGAATTCTTGGTGCTGGGAATATTGCTGTTGAGAGTTAGCCTGCAGAAGTCTTTTGGGGTGTTAGGGATGTGTTTTGTGTCGAATAAGGCAAGTTCTTGGGTGTTTTCGGAGCTCTCTTTGGTGATATCTTCGACCATGGTGCTGGTTTTAGGGTCCCAGACTGAGGATTTGGAGTTATTCAGCATTTTGGTGAGGTTATTTAAAGCTTTCTTGACGAATTTATTTCTGTTTCTTTAGATTTGAGTTTTTCTTCTCTGTAGCCTCAAGTTTTGATGTCATCTTGTTGAGAAGTAATTCTTTGCAATTGAAGTTATCTTGCTGGTCATTATTTTCTTGTGTCAATAGTTCAAATGTTTTTAGAGAAATTACTCTTATTAACTGATCTCTGGAACTGAGTTGTGGTGAAGTACTGGGAATCACTGATAGTCATAGGGTCTATTTGAGTTCACTTAGTCTGCCCTTCAATGTCAAAGTTGAACCTTTTACTCTGAACCATATGGTTGAAACTTGGTTTAGCAGGAGTGTTGTATCTGTCCTTTGAGTTGTAAATGACGCAGTCCTCATTGCTAACACTCTGACGTTCCTCGTTGTTGATATTAGTCGAAAAATCTTTTGCTAGCTTAATCTCAGACAAACTCTTTTCAAGCTTGTGGTCTTTGCTATTTTCTATTTCTTGCAATGACATCTGGAGATCAGATAATGTATTTTTAAGTTCTTTTATCTTATCTTGCTTCCTTTGAGTCCTACTTTTTGTTGGTTGGTTAGAAATTGCAAATCAATGGGTGTTTTGGATAGCATTAGTATCCTATATTTAATTCGGTGTTACTCTCAAGTTTTGAGGTGCTTAGGTGAGGGAATAGGAAAGTAATTTTTATCTTAAATTTTGCTAAATCTAATATTGCTCCAATTTTCAAATCTAAAGCCCTAATTTCGAGATTTAAAATTTATTTTGCGACTAATCCCAACAAAACGGCAAATATCCCGTACACCAGCTTTACTTCACAATTACCGGTCTAAAACAAACACCGCTCATCAAAACCCCCAATTTAGCCCCCTAAACTCTCCCTCTAAGCCCTGGCACCCCTAAAACCCCTCGTCTAGACCTTTACCTCCTCTCTTCTTTCATTCTTTCCACTTCGTTCATTCCAGCCTCACCTTGTTCCTCTATACCAACCGTCACATCTACCCTTCACAGGCCCACCCCAAAACTCCCTGCAGGCACGCACAAGCCAAGACCAGAGCCTAAATCCCTTCCATTGGCACAGGCACAAGGAACAAATTTTGTTCGGGAAAATTAGGGATTTTGGGCTGGATTTTTAATTTTTGGATGAAATGATAGGCTTAACTGAAAAATACTGCTTTTGAGGTTTACTAGGGTAGCAATTGGTGTTGATAAGAAAAGGAAGTTTAATAGGGGGGGTTTATGATTAGTTTTAGGAATTTGGGGAAATGGGTGAAAATAGAGTTTGGAGGGTGGGAAAATTAGTTTTAGAGGTATATTTGGGGGAGTTGGATAATTTGTGGGAGTTTGATGAGAGATTTTGTGAAATTTTTGTGGTCTTAGAATTTTGAGACTTAAGTTTGAGTGATTTTTCAGAGGTTTATAGGAATTTTGATGATATCTGAAAATGGGAAAGTGGGGATAGACTTTTTTGGTATAAATTTTAGAGTACTGCTTGTAAGGTTGGGAATAGGAATTTTCCTAATTTCTTTTATTTTTAATATACGACTCAATGTTTAGTTATTACCTAAGGGTCTAAGATCTTGTTCCTTAAATTACTATGTCTACTAAAACACACAAGAATTTCAAGCTTTGAAGTGAACACCGAAATTTTGAATATTAAAGGTATGATTGTTAATAATTTTAGAAATGCTAGTTTTATTCAGTATAAAACTATTTTAATTAAACAGATAAATAAGAATCGATTTATGGTTACTCCACCAAAAGCTGAGCTCTTAATCTACATATTTATGACAAACGATTATTAATAGTTGATCAAGGTGTATTTATTAATTCAAGAACAATAAAGCAAGAACTAGTTGGCAAAAAGTATTTAATCAACTTGTGCATACAATTTTCTTTTAGAATTACAAACTATTCGTTAGCTCAATTTTCAAACTTCTTTATCCCTTAGCACACATTTCAGAGGTAGATTAAACCAAGAAATGAGGAGTTGAATTAAGAAAATTACCTGTTGAACTCATCAGCATGCCTGGAGGTATTCTGTCCTGATGCTTGTCTCAAACTTCCCTTAAAATGGTCATGATTAGTGCTTGAATTGAAGTAATCTATAACTCTTTCTGAAGTTTTTCATATTGTTCATTCATAAATTCATATTTTTCGACCCAGCTCTTTCGCTCTCATTTCAATTTCTCTATAAACAAAGTCAGTATACAGCTAGGCTATCAGCTAATACAAGACATGGTATTAAAAGTAAAAGGCCATACCGATGCATAGCTCGAGGTTATGAATCTCATTGTCATGTTCTTGTTTGAGGGACATAATCTGTTTGGTATATTCCTTCTCCGATTCCTCATACTTTTCAAGCCTCTGATCAGTCACTTGTTGCTGCTTCTTGAAGCTAGCAAGCATCTGTTCAGACATAGACCTGTACTTGTCGAAGCTGCGGTTGACTTCGGTAAGTTCTTGGATCGCAAAATCATATTTTTGCTGCAGAACAGCTTTTTCTTTGGTTAAGAAATTTATCAAATCTCTTTTGTGCAGGTCCTGTTTTAGGTCAGAAAATTCAGAACTGGTCGTTCCACGGCTGTTTTTGGTTATATTTCGGTAATTTTTGGTGGGTTTAGGGGACAAATCGATACTTTTAGGCGAGTTTTTTACGCCTTTGGGTGTATAGCCGTTGCTCATGATTGTCGTTAAAGTTTTATTAATGTTCAATTAAGTATAAATTAATTGGGGTTTTGGGGTTTTGGGGTTTTGGGGTTTTGGGGTTTTGGGGTTTTGGGGTTTTGGGG